TAACAAAATTATGCAATAACAACAAGGTACGAAAACAACAAGTAAACACAATGAATCCAACAAACACCAATTGATATGACACACCACACATATATACAAACAGTACAAATAACCTCGCGGATCATATCTTGATGGAATTCCTTTGAAGAATCGCAGGACTTACACCAGTACGCCTACAACCCATCTCAGGTTGACGATTGTAAGTTGTGGAATGTCCGGACACACACAATAATAATAATATATATATTCTCATATAAACATATAAATTTACATGAAGATTAACCAACGATTACAATAATTGGAACTCACACAATTATTTAACACAAACATATGTACAATCAACACATCAAATGTTGTGGATTCCAGCATGACAAACTACCCTTGAAGAACTGTAGGACTTACAGCAGTACGCCTACATTCCTTCTCAGGTTGATGATCCAAGTGGAAGTCGTCCGGACACAAACAGAATTACCAACAGCTAGATGACAGATGATATCAATTCAGTATATACAATATGAACATATGTACAAGATTACACACCAAGCACATTGGACTGCTCATTGATGCGCTACCCTTTGAAGAATTGTAGGACTTTCAGCAGTACGCCTACAACCCTCCTCAGGTTGACGCCCTAGGTTGGAATATCGTCGCAGAGTTCATTTGCTGACTTCCTTCTATCATCTATATCCTCAAATCTGAACGCTAATACGCTCATGTAATTGTATCGTGGAATATAAATGACGAACAAACATACGACGTTTCTGGTCAACCAAGTATAGAAACAGAGTAATTTACACCAAAGATAATAGCATTCAAATAGTAACTTGAAACTAGAAATGCCTCTATTCAGGCAAGACAATTCAACAATTACTCTTTCGTTTACACTTGGCTTATCCTCTCTAAACTGAACAATATCTTTCGTCTTTTCAAACACACCAATACTATCATAGTCATTGCACAAGATACTTGAGTTGATGGGCGTCTTTTTCATTGTGGATGACAACACCAACGACGACTGATTGATACCAGTTGATTAAGTTAGCGGTGGATCAAAAGCTGTTGCTGCTCGACTTTCAGAAAGTTGTCTAACCGCAAGACCACCACCACTGCTGTCTTTTACTATCAGCTCAGGCTTAGCACTGGCATCTGATGATAGGTGGGCTACATGCTGATCAATCAAACTGACGGTCTCACAAGTACGCATGCCTTCTGCAACTGCACCTGCATTTATTTCTACTTCACGTTCAAGTTGTACAGAACCTTTGTTCAACTTAGCAGTAGTAGGCATATCCCTCATCTCATCATGATCAACCAAAGACAAATCTGCACTATCATGGTCATTACCACAAATATTCAATTTACCGTCAAGTTCATCATTTTTAAACTCTTTAATAACAGAAGTAGACCATTTTGGTTCCTCCTTGCAAATCCTAAAAGGTTTTATCACTTCACTCTGACTCGTAATACCTTGTAAACTTGTAGGGTCAGAACTGGACTCTGAAGCAGTAACTCTATTCTGTGACACTCTATTCAACAATGGCTTACCAGTTGCAACTACAGATTTCCTGACGAAACCGTTATCGTCACACAATTCGGAGTCAGACCTTGATTTCACATTTAGCTTATCATTGAACTTGCTTACTGGTTCACAGTTCACCTTTGTATGCACCTCTTGCAAACGTGTAAAACAAAGCCGTGTTTGTCTTGCATCTTGTAACTTATCTGTTGAGGATGTACTACGAAACCTGTTACACTCACTAGGTCTATATGCATTACTAGATATCATGGAGCCTTCTCGATATCCACCTCTCTGAGGCACTTTCGTCATCAATGATTGCGTTTTACCCTCAGACTGCTCTATTCTAGGGTTGAGATTCAATATACTGGCAAACTTGCTCATAGCTTGATTGACACTATCTTTTACTAGTTTCAAGATATCATCAAATTTTGGCTCGATACCTTCATCCTCCATACGGGAGCTTATCTTCACCCACTTCCTTTGCAGTCGAGTAGGTAGGCGTCTTGCTATTACTTCTAGGATAAAACTCGAGTTGAGGTCACTCATGCAAATCATCGAAATCAGTGCATTCTTGTAAGTCAACAGATTATCCAGAAACTCAGTAATTGCCTTGTAGTCATCTTGTAGTTGACTACCATTACCCTTAACAGCCTCGAATAATTTCCCTACAATCATCGAAGGTCTTCCAAGCCTTTGACGTAGTATGCTCATGGCCTCATAGTACCCCTCTTTTGACTTCATAAACTTACAGCACTGTATAGCTCTTGAAGCATCTCCAATGCAATACCTCATCAAATACATCAATTTCAATTCATCACTTAATAGAAAACTACTCAGCATATTCTCAAACCACTTTACAAATTTCAAATAATCAACCGGGTTTCCATCGAAACACCGTGGTTCAAATTTAGGGAGTTTGATGTTCCTATTATCCCTGAACGGCGAAACAGTAACATCAACCATGTCATTCTTGACATCAGACACATCGTTACAATTAACAGACAAGTCACCATGTCTTACTTTCCTGTTTGCATCCAAGACACTCTGTCCCTTCTTTGACCCAGGCATTGTTGAACTTGACCCAATTCCAAAAATGTTCCAGATATTGCTTGTTCAAAGAGGACTTGACCGGCACCAGGAAAGATGAACGGTGACTATCTTAACTGTCGCCGACTGTTCGAAACCGTCAGAAACTGACGCCGTACCGTTAGAAACTGTCAGCCACGTCTCGTAAACCGTTAATGCCCAGCTCTTGCTACGCTGGGCCTCACGCTGTTCCTTGAATTTTCTCAGAAACGCTTAGTACTAACGGACGAAAAAACCAAAACACCGATTGGCCGCTTGGGAATTCTTTATTATAACACCAACATATAGCCAACTTTAAAACTAAGCTTAAAAACTAAGGTCTATCAACAAATATTACAATAAGTAATCACAATATTACTTCTGACGGTTGTCTCCTGACTTCTTTCTGAACAACGACTGTCAATGTAGTTGAAGATTGAACGATCAATTCATGGTTGTTTGCTCAAAATCAACTTCCCCAATTTTCGCGGAGGCATCAATACGACAGTCATCATCTCATCGGTCGCTGTTCAGAAAGAAGTCAGGAGACAACCGTCAGAAGTAATATTGTGATTTATTATTGTAATATTTGTTCACAGACCTTAGTGGAAACATTTTTTATATGTTGGTGTTACAATAAAGAATTCTCGAATGGCCAATCGGTGTTTTGGTTTTTTCTTCCGTTATTGATGAGCGATTCTGAGAAACTTTTCAAGCAACAGCGTGAGCCCGAGCGTAGCAAAAGCTGGGCATTAACGGTTTACGAGACGTGGCTGACAGTTTCTAACGGTACGGCGTCAGTTTCTGACGGTTTCGAACAGTCGGCGACAGTTAAGATAGTCACCGTTCATCTTTCCTGGTGCCGGTCAAGTCCTCTTTGAACAAGCAATATCTGGAACATTTTTGGAATTGGGTCAAGTTCAACAATGCCTGGGTCAAAGAAGGGACAGAGTGTCTTGGATGCAAACAGGAAAGCAAGTCATGGTGACTTGTCTGTTAATTGTAACGATGTGTCTGATATCAAGAATGACATGGTTGATGTTACTGTTTCGCCGTTCAGGGATAATAGGAACATCAAACTCCCTAAATTTGAACCACGGTGTTTCGATGGAAACCCGGTTGATTATTTGAAATTTGTAAAGTGGTTTGAGAATATGCTGAGTAGTTTTCTATTAAGTGATGAATTGAAATTGATGTATTTGATGAGGTATTGCATTGGAGATGCTTCAAGAGCTATACAGTGCTGTAAGTTTATGAAGTCAAAAGAGGGGTACTATGAGGCCATGAGCATACTACGTCAAAGGCTTGGAAGACCTTCGATGATTGTAGGGAAATTATTTGAGGCTGTTAAGGGTAATGGTAGTCAACTACAAGATGACTACAAGGCAATTACTGAGTTTCTGGATAATCTGTTGACTTACAAGAATGCACTGATTTCGATGATTTGCATGAGTGACCTCAACTCGAGTTTTATCCTAGAAGTAATAGCAAGACGCCTACCTACTCGACTGCAAAGGAAGTGGGTGACGATATTCTGAAACTTTTGCTTTGCCTTTGGTCCATGTGGAACGGGCACTATTTAATTTGTGGGTATTTATTCTTGCGTTAGGACACTTCGTACCTTCCATGAAATTCAACACCTTTACCAGCTATACCTTTTTCTGATGTCATAAACATTAGATCCACAATCTAGTAATCCATGTATGTGTTTCTTACATCAGTATTTGTGCGGACAGGCATATATTTTCTCATGTCTGTTCTAAATCCAACTAGTGTGGCAATCTGCATTCCACATACAAACAGGCATTCCGACTGACTGTGACGGGTTCTGGTCGGCAGATCGACTTCATTTTCTGTCATCGCTGTTTTCATAATGCTGGGACTATTAGCTAACCACTAACGCTTTAGTTTCCTTGGGGTGAATAGTGGCAGGTTAGCATACTAAAAGAGAAACTGATTTTAAATTGGGTTGACACTTACGGAGGAACTTAACGTGTGTCTCTTGCATGAGGAGAAGTAATCTTAGGGAATCTTCCCTAGGTTAATGACAAGCAGACGGAAAGATGTCCTTAACAAGTAGGAAATCTATGAAACACCTTAATATAACAGTCAAACGTAACAATGTGAATGCCTACAGACGACAATGGCATCATCATTTATCTGTCCAGGAAATTATCCGACTTGAGAAAACTAATTAATTTCGCAAGGGTTTTCTTCTACTTCTGATTGTGGATGAGTACTTATGCTCATATTCTTCTGATTCTTTCATCCCTACCTTGATGGGAAGCAGACTATCAGTGAACCATCCAGAACTAAACAGAGCTGTAGCAAGAAAGTGATTAGATATACTATGTCATAATCGATATGCACTGTTCTATCAAGTATACTGGAGAGCCTGGGGTGTCAATGGTGCAATGTGACGAAACCGTGATCCAGAACGACAGACTGAGGCATTGGATATTGAAGGTACCCCGTGCAAACTTTATGGTCTTGTGTGCTACCGAGGTTCGTGGTCAGCTGATTCACGTATTAATGTAGCTTCTATACTTTTATGAACATGTTTTATTTTCTGTCGTCAAGAGAAGTCGTATTAGTTTTGGTGAAGTTCAAGACTAGCGTCTTCACTGCATTTTTTATTTAGGGTTGTGTTACATGATTTTTCGACTGTATAGCTCCAGTACCACAGAAAAGCGTGCATCGCTCCGTCCCTAATAGACCATAAGCTTTGATTCTGGGAGACTAACACCAGTTCACTTGCGTTGAGAAAAAGGCGTAGTAGGGTCACCCCAATACTTGCATATCTAACTCCATTATGGATAAGATTTTATTTTGATATATCACACAGTATTGTACAGTTGTATTAACTGATGACGTTTCGAGCACAAACTATTGCTCATAATCATATCAAGTCACTCACATAACTGTACAACACTGTGTGATATATCAAAGTAAAATCTTACCCATAATGGAGTTATACTCTACCACAATGCCCAAGTATTATACTTATATCAACTTGCATATCTAGCTTCACCCATAGCGCAAGTGGATAGTCAGACGGCGAAGAGAGCGCCTGTGAGTAGCGTAATTCAGTCTAGAAAAGTGATACATAGGTCCTGTAGAAGTCGTACTGTCTCTGAAGGATGGAAGACGCTATTACGCAGAGCGAGAAATCCCTTCCAAGTAGACCTGATCTCTTGGAGTGGTCGCTCATCCTTCAAGAAGTTGAAGGATTTTTGGCTTCAGACCGCGATGCCAGGTTTGAACATAACCAACCTTGGACAAGCTGTTGCCAACAACAGCAACTGATGTAGCCATTCATAGCATATGCAGAACTGGTGAAAACGTTGACTACAGCAAATAAGTGGATGCACCTTCTCAGTCTCATTGAATTCAAAAACTGAGAAAGATGCTAGACTAAGCAACATTCCGACTTAAAGGACTAGGTATCTACGCATGTGCTCGCTTATGCCTAGCAGACCGCATCAAAAGTGTGAAGCTCAAGTGTTAAGCCAAGAGTGAGAATAAACTAACCATTAGAGGTTTTCAACTTGTAAAAGTTTGAGGCTTGGTAATTCCGAAACCTCTGTGGGTGGAACGTGGGAGCACCAGACTGAGTTAAAAGTTCGATATACTAATGGTCACAGCCTGTTAAATAAGTTGACTGGGCTGCGTAGTACGATAGACACCAAAAACCAGGATATCATTGTGACTTCGGAAATATAGCCGACATCAGCTGTCACCGACAACGAATTTAACTTCCCAAACTACATAATCCATAGGGCGGATCGACTAAGCAGTTGAGGTAGTGATGTTAGCTATCGCAAAAATGCCTAATCGTGGGCTGCATTGAAGCTCTCGCACACGAAAGTGGAATTTGCGAACTTCTGCTCTGCGTAAGCCAAGATATTGGCCTCCTTAATATACACCACAGTCCCGACTGCAGTGTAGACGACTTCCTAATAAGGAAGCTAGGAGTATGGCCATCTGGGTGTCGGAGTCTTGTAGTCGGCGATTTCAACGCCCTAAAAGTTGACTGGACGAGTTTTGCGACTCCATCTTCGGACAAATCCTTTGACTATGAACTGTTGGAATGTAGTGTTTCGCTAGCTCTACTCCAGCATGTCACAAAGCCCACACGCTATGACTCGCAGCTTTAGACCTGGTTTTCTCCCATGGTGAGTATGTAAACCTCATACATCGTCCTCCTTTAGGAAGAAGTGATCTCACAGTATTCACCTTCATGGGCCGAAACTCCAGCTTGACCAATACCATAAATGATATGAATGCCATCGTATCAGTAGCCAAACCGCTGGACTGGCACATAAATCCAGAGTCTCACGTAGAAGCTGCATGGGATCACTTTAAGCAACTTTACGCTCAGATAACCGAATCTTTCACCCCTTGGTATGTTCGAAAGGGCCGAAAATATTGCCCCCTAGGAATAAACCAAGACAGTCGCAGTTTACTCAGGCGAAAATACAAGTGGTAGAACCTGTTTATCACATTTGAGACTTCTGAGACAAGAAAGTTATGCATCATGGCAAGGAACAAAGCTGTTGTCGGAAATCCGCCAATCAGAGATGAAGTTCAAAATGCAACGCCACAACCTAAAAAAATTTTATGCATGAATTTGATGATCGAAGCATCCAACGGGGTCCCAAACCTGACTGTTGGCAACGATACAGTCAAAGAGGACCAGTAGTCGTCACTCACAGCATCAGCTTTGGAAGCGTCAGAGGTTTACAGGATAGACTAAGTCAGTGTTAACCAAGACATCGACAAACCTTACAGCACGAGAAAGCTAGGTCAAGTCAAGGAACAATATGGCCCATCGACTTCTTTTTCATAGACTTCAGCAAGGCTTTCGACAAAGTACCTCACATAAGGCTGCCCATGAAATCGGAGTCTTGAAATCAAGGACAACTGGATTAGGCAATCCCTCATACGTGAATATAATCAGGATCAACTCCGAACTCTCCTCTTGGACAGTGGTACATAATAGAGTGCCATAAGGCACTGTAATTACGTTGTTCTCATTTGTTTGTATATCGATGTTACCTTTGCTCAGCGAATCCCTTGTGATCCTTTATGCATGACTTAACAATTTGGAGTGAGCTGAAGGGTGGTAATGATACTCATGTTGCACGATCTCAACAAATTGATTTAAGTATAAAACTTGGGCACTGTGGTAGAGTATAACTCCATTATGGATAAGATTTTATTTTGATAATCACACAGTGTTGTACAGTTATATTAACTGATGACGTTTCGAGCACAAACTATTGCTCATAATCATATCAAGTAACACACTTTTTTCTTTCATTTATATACATGTGTGGAATCGATTAGAAAAAAGTTGTGTGAGTTACTGGATATGATTATGAGCAACAGTTTGTACTCGAAACGTCATCAGCTAATATAACTGTACAACACTGTGTGATTATCAAAATAAAATCTTATCCATAATGGAATCTCATCAAATTGTTAGACTGGTCCGAATTGGATGCGCTATAGTCACCTCATACGAACTGGAGGGAATGACCCTCCCATCAATTCAAACTTACGTGGATCTAGGTGTCGTAATGCCACGAATTAGAAACTGCAGCATATTGTGGTGGCAGCTGGAAGTTTCAGATCCTTATGGGCAACACATAGGTTTTACTAAAATCGCCAGAGATATGTTCACTTCTTTGCATATACCTCTGATGACGTCAAGACCGAAATACTGTAATCAGGTATCCAGTCTGTTTTAAGGGGAACTCGTATTCTAGAAACGATCCAAAAGAAGGCAACATGTATGATTCTCAGTATGACCAATTCATTATAGGTTGAAATACTAGACAGTTTGAATCGCTCCTCCTTGTCCTACCGTAGACATCGAGTTCTCATCATAATGTTTAAAATTTTAAGTAATGACGACAGGCCTAATCTGTTTTCTCTTTTACTTCCTATTAGGTCGGAACACCCCAGAGGACATAGCAGGAAAGTTCCATAAATCAAGGAGGGACTGTATCTCTGTGGGATATCAGTTCTAACTCCGAGTCATTAAACTTCTGGAACTACTGACTCGCAGAAAAAGTTTCGTTGTCCTCAATCGACTCATTCAAGATATGCCTAGGCAATCATAGGAAGTTATTAGAAAACAATTAACATAGATCTCAAGCCTTCTATCTTCAGTTATTAGATCTGAAAATTTAATCGGTCTTTGCTCACTTTTAATTATTACGAGGTTTCGTAATCAAATATAAGAAGCCAGTAACTACCAAGATATAATATCCAAACTCACTTTTCCTTTTAACTGCCGTTCGGTTAGGCATCGATACAGCTGGAATAAACATACTGCTTTTAGCCATTTAAGAAGGTATGTATACAATTTCTAATTTGTAGAAATTTGTGAGATAATGGGAGTAACCAATTCAATGGTAAAGCTCGAGAATAATAAGAAAAGATCAATTTTCAAAGAAAAAGGTCGGATAATCAGGTTCGAAATTATTCACCTCTATAGTTCTGAAGGTGACTAATGTTAGTAGTGGATAGTTGTACAGTAGATCATTTGTGCAATTAAAATTAGTCTTCCAACTGTGGAAGCTAATTCTTAAAGCCTAATAGATATCCTGTTTAATTTCTGCTTGGAATTTCCAGTACACATATCCATCATTCTTGTCTCTCAGAGGATTTGTCAACAGTGGTCTTTCTTGATCATTACAAACTATGTCACACTACAGTCAGTGAGTATTGTGTCATGGGCATTTATTTGAAATCTTCCCTCCTAGTGGTAGGGAGTTTGGTAGAATAGAGTTTGCTATTAAGCTTTGAATTACTGATAGTAGGACGTTAAGTCTGGCGGCAAAGTCGTATTGTTGTTAAACAGAACTGTAAAGCTTTTACATAGAATGATCAGCAACCCCACTGTTCTGGTTTCATATTGTTTATAGGAAAGAATCAAAAATATCAGCTTCTAAAGCACACTATTTTCGAATATTATTTTCCAAATTATAGTTTTGGTGGAACTTGCCTTCTTGATAAGCCGGAGTGTTTGATGTTAACTGCCCAGTGTTGAAGTTTCTCCCAATTCTTTGATGTTTATCACCACTGCTGGAGGTCTTTATGGGAAATTCCAATCAGTTAGCTTTCAAATACCCAGGCAAATCACTCCTTTTACCAAACGGTTCATAATGAACTTAAGTTGATATTTTGCTGAGGGTTATTTACCGTCTTCTGTTTTTTAAAGACAGACTAGAAACGGTGTTGGGCATCTTTTAGATAAATATCACTATCAAGTCACTAAATACAGGCTTAACGTTTTCATCCATTAGTCGGGCATGCAGGGGTTTTGGGCCTACTTACTTGACTTCCTTCAATCGATTTGCTGAAGAAATAATGTTTAATCGAAATGTACACAGATAATTCAGGAAGGGATTGGTCATCGTCCTTTTTGATTGATGCAAACTACAAGCAGAGGTTGTTCACGCGGATACTCGCCTCTTTCCTAGATATCCATTTAGTGACATAGCACATGGAGCTAGGGGGCCTTAATTTTTCTCTCCAACAGCTTGTAGTATCTTTGCCCAAAAATACAGTACTCTTATGGTCAGTTCCACAAGTACACTTGTTGGACTGTATGGGGCGGAGTCGTTGCTGACTTTTTAGTTCCTTGTATGTATATTTCACAAATGCGATGTGTTTCCATAGCGCAAGACGTTGTATTAGAAGCTGGTGGGGTCTGATTTTTTATTTGATATATGGTTCATACATTGAAAGCCTCATTGTGAGGTTGGTTGTGTTGTTTTAAAGGGATAAGAAATCTTCCCTTGGCCTAAGGCATTAGCAGTGGTCTCAAAGTTAATTGATGAAGGAATAGTAAGAAAAACAGTGTCGCCAGTGAAATAAAGTAACGAAATTTTAAAGAAGGTAGGAAAACCAAGTGTGTAGGCTTTCAGTTCTACTCCTACTCAACTGATCTCTTCAGCACAGTGAAACTTCCAGAAGTAATCGTTCCTGCTAGTATAGGTGGTTGTGTCATCGTAGTATGAGTATAAAGGTGTGGTCACCACGTCAGGGTAGTAGCATCTAGTTTAAGTTGAATGACACCAGTTACAAATTTTATCCATTTTTAAATTTTAAGAAGCCAAATGCAGTATAATCAAAACATTAGCTCAATTGTCTCATATCTGGTAGTTATTATACCGTGAAAGGTTTATTGTTCAATAAACTGAATAATAAGTTGTACGGAGAATGCAGCGCTTTTATCACAGGGTCAAATCCAACTCTCAACTGAATTCACTTACCCGATACACAACATTGATACGTGAGACTAAGAGTCATTTATCGTACAAAGGCTGATGATGCTATCCAATCTCTGGCAGGCTAAATTAGATGGAGCAGGAGTAAAAGTTGTGACCCTTTGGCGGCAAACTGGGCTCGTGTGTCAATCAATCACATCTCCTAGTTCAAGTAATACAAGAGAAAGCTGAGGAACCAAAATAATGTTTAGTTGATCTGGTGAGAGAGATTTTCTGTAGGCGTATAGTCTAAAATGACCAAAGCTGGTTAAATATTTCCACTTGTTTGTTTGAGTTTCAACATAGAATTTTGCAGAGAGGTGAAGCACTTCAATTTACTACACCGCTCACATATGACACAAAGGCAGAGGAAAGAGATTCAAAACAATTGTAATGAGCAGGAATATGAAGGATGACGAATAGTAGAAAAATGAATGTTTAGTGGATACTGGAGATCAAAAAGTGTGAGTTCATCTGCACCATCAAAAAACCCGTTTGAGTCATATTACTGGCGGTCTCTAGCCATTGATTCTTAACATTCTGGGGACTCCAACCGGTAAGCTTACACCTCTCTACGTGCCTGGCTTAAACCAACGGTCGAATTCTCCATGGACTAATGCCAGGTTTTAGTTCGACCGTTCCTAACTCGTTTCCAGCTCAATCCTATTTGTATTTATCTTTATCTTTTCACCACAGAATTCTTCAATGCAGAATCAAACATCGACTACAAATCAGCTAAGCAGCCCAGCAAAACGTGGCTCATATTCAGCTTACAATAAAGGTCAAACGCTATCGCCTGGTCAATCACAACAGCAACACCATCAGTCTCAACAGCAGCAGCAACAACAAGTATGGCCGTCATCATTACCACCGGGTTGGAGGCGTGAAGAACGTATGCGACCAAAAGGTTTGTGCACCGGGAAATCATATGTTTACTACATTAGGTAATCTTTGTTTCTATTTCCTTATTCCCCCTTTTTTCGTAGTCCTCAAAACCAAATTGTTCGTAGCAAACGCGAAATGCAAACCATCCTAGGCGACAATTATGATGTTGGTTTGTTCGATTGGAGATTGGGAAAATTCACGCTGAATCGTCGATCTAAGCAATCTGGGGAACAGGCAACAGACGCTTCCTCAGCTAAAGGTACACAAATTTTCTAATGGTGTTTATATGTTCCATTTTCTCCTCTCTCACTACAAATCCCACGTGTAGATAATCGGTCTTTGCTTTCAATGAGACGATGTCCATATCCAATACATGAAATTCAACCTGTTATGGTCCGATCTCATCCGGTATGTAAACGAATAGATGGGGAGGATGGAAATCAAGAAGCACCTCGTCAAGTGCGTACATTATTCCTTCAACTTTAGAATTACCGTCATATTTCTTATAGTTATTTTGGGAGAAACGACTGGCTGGTAATGTGGCCGTTGATGCTGAAACTGGTGAACCGTTTAAACCAATCTCTTTGCCCAGCGGAATTCAGAGTAAGTTTTATGGATTAATTCGTATTGTTATTATTGACATTATTTTTTATGTTGTTTTATTCCTCCGCATCCCGAGTGGAATATATGACTTCAGGTAGCGGTTTTATTTTTTATTGCTTGGGATTGCTAGCTTGACACTCAGCCTGCCTTATTTATCGGGCTTATTTACGGGCTTGGGGTTGTTTACGAGTGTGTCGGCAGCGAATAGAACCCCAGACCACATGTTCACTTGGTGATGCACACAATAATTTGTAATAATCTTTGAATTTTCGCTTTTTTGTTTTTCTCCCCTCCTCCCCCCCCCGGTTCCATTTCTAGGTGCTGGAGTACCTGGTTATCAACCTTCTCAATTAGTTCAAAGTTTAGTTCATGCCTTGACAAATGAAAATACTCCAGTCATTGGTCAGGAACAAGATCTCTCAGATATTGAGAATGATCCATGTGCCACGATAAATCCCTCGCAACCAATGATTAAAGTAAGTAACTAGTCTAGTATGAAGAAACAATCCTGTTATTACAATTATTATAAGTTTTCCTGTGGTTGTGAATCATTCTTGACTATCGGTTAGTGGGTGATGCGTTGCCCATGATTAGTTACCAGCTTTTTACAAATAGGACTAGATTGGAAAGAGCTTAGGGATAGTCAAATCAAGACAGAACTGCACCAGCTCAAGTTTTCCTACTCTATATAGGTAAAGAAAAATGAAAACAATTCAAAATAATTCTGATGAACAGAATTATACATAAGAAAGAATAGTTAAGCGGAGAAACAAGAGGATTCGGCGATTACAAAAAGTAAATTTGTGTGACAATTTGGACCGTATCATCGATAGTCTCTGGCCATTGGTTCTTAGCATCCTCCAGGTCCCAACCAGGCTGTCTACACCTTGCTACACGCTTCAAATGAACAGTCAAAGATTCCACACATTGACGTCAAGTTTTTATTTGACCAGCCGAAACTTTTTTCCAACTCAATCCTGTGTCAGCTAACATTGCTCTTCGGGGAAGGCGGTAATCTGATATGTGTGACACGTGTCCTAGCAAATTTAATCGATGTAGCTCGTAGACCATTTTGCTTTTTGTCGACGTTTTCACTTAAAGGGTTAAGGTATATCATCTACATGCTGTCAGTCGACGAGATTGTTTGTTGGTTACCTGAACAGTTGAATAATAAGATTATTATTATTATTACTACTACTACTAGTGTTCCTGACAAGTTCTGTGTAACTGTTATTTCAACCCTATAAATTTATAGTAGGTTAGTCAGTTATATTTAAATATAACATAAGGTACACTGTACATGCATCTATGTCTATGATATCAGCTCATATCTTTTAAGGCGTAAAGTGTTAATATAATTCTTCTTCATTCGTTTACTTCCCAAGTGGAACGTAGGACTTCAAACTTGATCTAGTGTTGTTTCTATGAGGGGGTGGAGTTGCTAGTTTCATATCCAGGCTTTCCTCTTTAACGAGCTTACTACCGGCTAACCAACGTTAAACGGAGCGCGTCATCTAGGAGTGGATCTCGAACCACTTGTGTGATTGGTAAGCATTCTACCAATGAACAACCACCAACGCGTGGTGTTTATATCATTATAATTATAGTAACAACATTCAATGATTATTCTTGTTTTGTCTTTTCGTTATTGTCACTTTTCTGTTCCATTTAGACATTCATTGTGACTGATGATGATATACGCCAACAGGAAGCACGTGTAAGGGAATTACGAAGAAGACTAGAGATTCTCAGGCGTAGATTTACTCCAGTGAGTTGAAAGTAGAGATGCATACAGCACAATATATATATATATATATATATTATTCAATAGAGGAGGAAAGGAATGAAGAGAGAAAAGAATATCTACTTAATATTCTCAGTTTATTTTAAATAATAATCATTGTTTTATTTTCTAGAGTTGGTTTATAGGGATTTGACTTGGTTTCAAGTTTGACAACGGATTGATATCGGTTAGAGAAGCATTGAAAACCAGACAGTAACTGGAAAGCTGTTTCGTCCTAATCCGAGACTCATTGGCAGTACGAAGCCACCGGATTTCGAACTCAGGAGCTTCCAATTACAAGACAAGCTCGTAGACCATTCAACTGCTGGGGTCTGACTCATTGGCCCATGAATTCTAACTTCTACCAATTCGTGATTTTAGCGTGACTATCAACGAGTGTCATTGCTGGCGAGTATTTGTCCTCACTTTCGAATGGATGGTTCCAACTGGTCACGAATTCTCACTAGAACTCCAGGAAGCTCCGTCTTGTAACCAGTTACTAGTGAGCATCAGACTAATAATAAGAAAGTGGGTGAGTGGATACCGCCGGTGAGTCCCAAACTAGTGCGAAATAGCTGTCCAGTATTCCCTGGATCGTTTTATTATAACCCACTAATGTTATTCCTGAAATACTATTGGACTGTTTTCACATTGACATAACTGACTGAGCAAAGAACTCTGAACAGAGATTGAAGCACTTCAAATTGTTACATTCCATACACAAAGGTAGAGGAAAAGATTTTAAAATATTCATAATCGGCAGAAGGAGGAAGAATAGTGACATGAGAAACACGAGGACTTGATGGATCTGAGAGATCACAGAGAGTGAATGAGTCGGCACCACTGAGTACGATTTGAGGCCATATCATCAAAAGTCTCCAGCCATTGGTTCTCAGAATTCCGAGAACCACCACCAGGCAGTCTACACCTTTCTACGTGGCTCACTGATATGACATGCAGAACATCAGATCTAAAAAATTTCTTTTTTACTTTAGAAAACCATTGAAAGAGTTTCTGTCTACTGATAGTTGTGGTGGTAATATTTCCATATCTATCCTACTCCTAACCAATATTCTATTGCAATTTTATAAGATCATTTCGTATACACCCATATAACCGACTGAAGGTGGGTAGACTTCGGTCTTCTTATCGAGATGCTCTCATGTGCCACTCGTTCATAGTTTCTACCAGATAAGTCCTGTGCACTAACTTCATGCGGTTGAGGTATTCCTCACAAACACCTAACATCCCTATCCGTGACCTTAGTTGAGATGTTGCTGTGGTGCATGCTAAGAGGGGATTGTCCATACTAATTGGTACTTGTTGTTGTTGTCCGTTATTAGCAATCTTTGCTATCTCTCGCATTTTTTGCCTCCAAACTCTTATTCCATCTTTTTGGTTTCTAAAACAAGCAATATAGGTTAATAAAGCAGGGTTTTTTGTTTCTGTGTGTAGTTATTCCAGTTTCAGTGAAATTATATATAAATCATGCACAGAGTCCAAGTATTCCAGAGACTTCTTCTTGGTCCAGCGTAAACTCCACAGCAAAAGTATATTGTGGAGTTACATTTCCACTTATTAACATACACAGAGTGCACACCCATCACAAGCACGTGGTCCGAGGTTTGATCCTCGACCGACTCACTCCTTCACCTCACCAAGCCAGTAGTAAGACTGATAAAGGGGGGAGGTTGGACATGAGGCTAGCAACCCCATCCTGTAAAAAATACAATCACCACTGCTACAGAAACTTCAAGCCTCCAGCTTGAAGCCCTATGTTCCACTGGTAACGTAAAGAAATGAAAGCATCTGTTTTTATTTATTAATCAGGACTTTCCATGTATCAGCTAACATCACACCCTCACGTGTGTCCAAACTGTTGGGATTCACCCATATATGTAGGCTTACTGCAGTCAGTCTTTCTCTATGCGAGTCCAAACCTTTCTGATCCTGTCAACGTGTATTTTGTGACTCGTTTCTGTCGAGTTCAGCGCAGTCGGTGATCTGTTCTCTAGCCTCTTTAAGTCTGCAGAGATTTATTTGAACCACCTTTAGACATTTTTTATACTTTCACTCATATATTTAAATGTAAAAGCTCGAGCTGCTTTCGCTGACGTACACCATCTCTGGCGTATGCGTGACATCTGGCTATCAACTGAAGGGCGTGTGTACTGCTCAGAAGTCCGCTCGGTCCTTCTCTATGGCTCTGAAACATGGCCAATACGAGTTGAAGACATGAAAAGGTTGACTGTTTTTGATCATAGATGTCTACGATCTCTTTCTCACGTTAGGTGGTATAATAAGGTAAGTAATGTTGACGTTAGGCGTAGAGTGTTGGGCAAAGAGGGAAAATCAATCGACGAGGCTATAAAGTTGAGATGGCTAGGTCACGTGCTGCACATGCCTAACCATCGCCTCCTGCGGCGGGCATTACTAGCTGATATAGGTGCCGGTTGGAAAAGAGTAAGTGGTGGTCGAACAAAAACATGGCATCAATCCATGAAATCCTTGACAGTTAAACTGAGGCAGGTAGGGAGATGCAGACTTCCGGGTTGGGGTCCTCGGGACTCTAGGAATCAATGGCTGGAGAGAGTAGGTGACATGACTCAAAATCGTTGTCAATGGCGCAGATGTATTCAGTCTCTGTAATCTTTCATATTCTTTTCTACCATTATTCATTCTGTTTCACTCTTAGACTTGTCAAACTCTATTGGTTCTCTTCATTCATCTTCTTGTCTACCTTTGTGTGCTATTTGGAACGTGGCAACTCGAACTGCTGCACTTCGATGCCAAGTTCTATGTTGAATCCAGACCAGACCATATTTAAATGTATGGAAGTTTTTGGTACATATACGGCGTCACAGTCTCCACAACTGATCTGGTACACACAATTCTATCGGTTTCTGGTTCTGTTGGCTTCTTCTATTTTATCCTTGACGGTCACCAGTGATGAGCGTAACGTGTTAGCTACACGAAAATTCACTCGTATATCATGACCGTTAAGGATTCACTTTATCTCATCATATGTTTCCCTGCGGTAATGAATCGCCGATGTGCTAACCCAATTCCCAGCAACAGGTATCGATACATCCTTATCTAGTCATTTTAAATAACTTTTTATGAAGTCTTTGGAATGTCATTTTTATAAATAAGCCTCTATTACGAAAATAGTTGCTACACTTGTTGCCTGAACTTTGGCGGATAATAAAGTGAGTGTGGAAGTTGTTACTCACCTACTGGTAGAAAGTCACTCCCCTCTAAAATAATTAGCTACATTTCCTTTTTAATGCCATGTGTGTATGTATGTCCAACGGTTACTTTTGTATTTCTCCTTGTTTTTTTGTTATTTCAGAGACATGATGCCGAACGACAAGGTTGATACAAACAAAAGCGCTGCATAAAATGACAATTATATTGTCATTATGTGTGCTGTTCTCTGTTAATGCGCTTGTTGTATTATATATTGTCGTTGTTGTTATTGATGTTGTTGTTATATAATCCTGTTCTTATGCGCAGTACTGTTCCACAGTGGTTTTACTGCATTTCCGTATAATGTCGCTGAATGATGATTGGCGATATGGGAATGATTGATAAATTAATCACCTGGTCAATTATTCCCTCACGTGAACTATTGAAATCCAGAGGACTCACATAGTAGGGTTGTCAACGTGTATTTCCAATAAGAGTGTGTGTATGAGAGAGAGAGAGAGAGAGAAAGTGACCAAGAGTACAAAAATGTTGGGCAGTGATGGATGAGGCTCGAATGTGTATTCGTCGACTGCATGCTAGACTGTATGTGACTGATTTACGCCCATCATGTGATATGGTTTTCTCTGAATCAAAAGACTGATAAGATGGAATTGTGGACACATATGAAATTGACAGACTGATGAATTGTTTCATGTACATATATGAGACTGTTTAGATATTGTTATTGTTGGCACTGTTATCTAGTTGTCCGGCTGTCTGTCGATGATTATGTTATAACCTTCTAAAATATCCGTGGCATTTATGAATAGCAGTGGTTCTCCTCATTAATCATGCGTCTGTGTACAAACATGACGGTTAGTGATACATGATCTGCGTGTTGGAGGTTCAGGTGTAGAATACCTGTCATCCACTGACATAGTCCGAGTTCTGTGTGCGGCTGACACTGCGAAACCTTGCCCAACCTGTAGTAGGCTGATAGAAGTGGAAAGATTGGAAGTGAGGCTGGAAACTCCAGCCTACAACTGGAACTTCAGTGTTGGAAGCCCTATGTGGCACTCAGATTGAAAGAAAAGATGCTATCTGACTGCAGAGGTGTATGATTAGCTTCATCGCGAAAAACAACATATAAGATAGACTAACTAGTAATAAAAGTAACAGTAATCTACTCTATTCCAAAAACAGTACTTATTATACAGAACAGAATTCTCAGCATTTGTCACAATACTGCATCTGATTCGCTCAAAATATAAGTAAAATTAGCCGCAGGACTTTGTCCACATTTACGATATAAAGCCAAAAATATTCGATGTACAAAATGAGAATAGTCAGTATGATAATAGTGATAATAACAGTGATTTTGTTTCAAACAGTACTGTCGATTCAGGTTGGAAATTTTAGCATGTTGTAGATTATTGAGTCTAGTGTTCTGTTGATATCGCATGGTGAAGGGAAAGACAAAAAATAACAGTTATTACACAGTCTAAAGGATGTTTACACTTATGGGAAAATTAAAAAAACCTTGAGAGGATTATAAATATAAGAAGAACAGTGACAATAAAGCTTGGTGGAATGAGGATGGAGAAAATGGTTTATTTACTAGTGCGAAGAAGGTTAGTCAGTTCGTCCCTGACACATAAAATACGTGCCACCAAATATGGTATCGTGGAATTTTTATACCTAGGCGTACGTGCATAAAGTCTTCTGAAAAGACTTCTAGTTTTACCTGAGGAGATACAAGGTGAAAGATACCCAGAAGTAAAGTGAATGCTCACAGTCTGACAGAATTCCTTTCGAAAATCAGTTGCATGAAATTAAATGCCTATCAATGAAGGTGTCAACAATATGGTCCATTGGGAAACCATTCTGCCTACTGACAGTCTTCAGAGTTCACCGAAGTATGACATAGTCTCTTTTAAGCAATCTGGGAAAGAGTAAGGGTGACCAGTGAGGAAGAATGGGTAAGATGCACGAGTTGACAAACTGTAAGAGGAGGAAGGGTTCAGTTATGCCTGAGTGCGTTAACTTCTTAATGTGAAAAGTCAAACGAAATATTCTTTAGGAAATCGCTACGACACGGGAAGACCAGGACAGGTCAGAAGAAAGAATTAATCCAAGATACTTAACGTCAGACTTGATTTCTACATCACTATCATTAATTTTGTTACGGTCATAGGAACCAACAGCTTCATTCAACTTTCTTTTACATCTGAAACTGAAATTAACAGTCTGACACTTGGAAGGATTGAGTTTAAGACCATTTACTCACTCCTGATAGAGAGCTTTTCATCTTAGTACAATCTAGCTAAGAGTTAACAGACATTGAAGTAGTCAGATCATCCGCATACTGAACAAAGTTGATTTCATCATCAGAGTGAGGCAAGTCATTGAAGAAGAAAGATAAGAGAAAAGTAGGAAGAACAGCACCTTGAGTGAATTCTTAGAGCTTGGATGATTTTACAGTTGAGTGTTGAATTCAGAGGCGGGTATTATTCCGGGATTTTTAACACATCCTTTTCTTTTGAATTCTGAATAGCGTGTATATTTCGAGGTAGATACATGCTACATGCTTATAGGGCAGGCTAACATAGATTTACTTGTTTGTGTAGAGCTAGTTAGTAGATCGAAAGGATATCATGGATAATATCTTGTGTTTCTTGCAAGAAAGCAGTTTAAATCAGGAATCACTTACACATTAGGGCTTCTGATTAAATGGCGTTGCTCAGCTCTGCTTGAATCTTCTTCTAAACTTATTTATGAAGTTATTCATATGAACTGTGATCAAGATTTGACCGAATAGTTCCGAAATAATTGGGCGCCGAGTGAGAAGTAGACGCATGGAAAATTTAAATTTTTAAAATCTCAGAGAAATTGAAATGAGTAAGTTCAACGTATTCTGCGTCCGGAAAAGTGCGTCGGTGGCACAGCGGTAGAGCGCTCGCCGACCACGCGCGCGTGGTCCTAGGTTCGATCCTCGACCGACTCACTCCTTCACCTCACCAAGCCAGTAGTAAGACTGATAAAGGGGGGAGGTTGGACATGAGGCTAGCAACCCCATCCTGTAAAAAATACAATCACCACTGCTACAGAAACTTCAAGCCTCCAGCTTGAAGCCCTATGTTCCACTGGTAACGTAAAGAAATGAAAGCATCTGTTTTTATTTATTAATCAGGACTTTCCATGTATCAGCTAACATCACACCCTCACGTGTGTCCAAACTGTTGGGATTCACCCATATATGTAGGCTTACTGCAGTCAGTCTTTCTCTATGCGAGTCCAAACCTTTCTGATCCTGTCAACGTGTATTTTGTGACTCGTTTCTGTCGAGTTCAGCGCAGTCGGTGATCTGTTCTCTAGCCTCTTTAAGTCTGCAGAGATTTATTTGAACCACCTTTAGACATTTTTTATACTTTCACTCATATATTTAAATGTAAAAGCTCGAGCTGCTTTCACTGACGTACACCATCTCTGGCGTATGCGTGACATCTGACTATCATTCGTTGATGGCTATTATTCATTGATGACCTTTTCAGCACAATTTGTTACCAGTCATAATTGTGTCGAAAAAATCTCTGCTAATAATTATCGAGGAGTTCGTTTTACTAACACATAAGACACATAATTACAACTAGGGCATAATAATCCCGAGGAGATCAAGCCTAACAGCTAATGAACAAGTGCATCCTCTGAAGCATTTAAATTGATGTGGTTGACAGTTAAATTCAAAGTATGCACTCAACTCTCTTCCAAAGTGGAATGACTACTTAAATAAGGCATTACGAAGACAGATATCGCGATATAATATTATTTCATAGTTTACTTTTACAATCGATTTTCAGACATTTATAAATGGTTTCAGGATTTCATCATGAGCTGACATTAGTTAGAGAACCAGTGGAAAACCTGGGAGTACTGGACAGCTGTTTCGTCAACCTAGTTTGGGGCTCTTCATCAGTACGCACCCACCGGGATTCGAACCCAGGACCTTCCGGTTACAAGGCGAGCTCGTATACCATTAAGCCACTGGGACCCGATCCAATGGTCCTTGAATTCTAACTTCTGCCAACTTACGCCAACTGGCACGACCGCTAGCCAGTGTCTTCGGCGAGTATTTGTCCTCACACACGACCTGCTGCACCCTACTGGTCACGACTTTAATTTAATTTTAATAAATGTCCTGAAGTGGATGATATGTTCGATTTCTATTCACGTCAAGTGCATTTGTGTTTTCTATGTGGCTTAATAGCTACTCAGTAATGTGTTCCTTCAGACGACCATGGAGCATTCTTTTGCTTCTACCTATATACGTGTTACCTCAACTGTTGTTGAACTTGTGGATACAGTGTGAAAAAGAGTGTGCAGAATTTCGTCTGTTAACCGTATGTAAAGGAATCGAAAATGTTCAGAATGTGAAGAAAAGGGATGTGGCGTAGAATGTGCACTTGACAGCTGATAGAAGTCTCTCAGCTGACAGTTGCGTGATTTTATCGCCCTTGAATTGTAGTCTAATAAAGATTGCTTTTTTCATATGGAAGCTGTCTGTTTAAGATCGAGCCTCTTTTTTCCTATAAGCAGGAGCGAAGTTTTCCAGCTATCTGTTGGCCAATAAAATTGAATGTAGCACTTTCATTTATTATGTCGCTCGCGCAAATTTTACGTGCCCTTGGAAACAGGTATTTCACTAGAAAACCTTTACACTGGATTTGAACAAAGCTGCTGAAATGAAGGAATTATCCATTCCAATTCGCGACATATGGTTCATTAAATTGTTTCATCATCTCGCATAGTCAATGAAGCATCCAAGAGACCCAGTGATTTAATCAGTTGGAATTATTAAGTCACCCGAATATTTGGATGCTCATTATTGAACACAGAAATGAGGCTCTTTAAATATTTTTAATTCGCTAAAAATACCCATTAAGACATTGAAATAAGAACAAATAAGTTCAGCGAAGAGTCTCTTTTCGGCGAATTCATTCTCTTAGCTGTACAGTCGCAAATATATACAATTAATTTTGTGTGTGTGTGTGTACATAAGGTTTGTCAAAATCAAAATCAAAATAACAGTTAGTGTGGGTTATTGATTACATCATCAAAATAATAAAGAAAATAAATTGTGTGAATAGTAACCAAAGTTGTAACTAAGTAGGGTGGGGAATGGTAAGATGTGAGTACGGCTAACTCATCCAAATAATATAGAATTTAAAATGTGTGATTAATAATCAAAGTTGTAACTATGTGGGGTGAAAATTGGTAAGATGTGAGTAGGGTTGCGTAATATAGACATGTTTAGAAAGATTAGATTTTCA